GCACGCTCTGCTCTGGCTTTGCCCGCCTGCCTGCACTGCACCATACCGCCCAGGACTGAATAAGAGGGGCGGGCGGACGGGACCCCGAGAGAGCGCGTGCCCCCGTTCATCCCGCTCATCGCGGCTTGGAAGCCGAGCTGCAGCTGCAGGTGCTCCGTCTGATCCATCAGGAGGGCGTTGTTCTTCTCGAGGTTCTGGCGGCATGCCCCCCCCGTCTCCCCTGTGAGGTGGAACGTTTGGGGGGATCCAGCTCAGGGGTGGGCATCGACCTGCCATCGGCGAGACATCGCCGATAGATCGGCGACAGGCCCCCGAGAGCGAATCCGCAAGCTCCTGGGCAGGTTGGGGCTGCAGTCAACCCTTCTCATGAGGATGCGCGGTGAGGATGCAAGCGGCCTTGGAAGCCCATGTGAACGTTTGTCGATCGAGGTTGGCCAGCGAGAGTCGCTGACGATGGGCCGAAGGGGCAAGAATGCAAGGGTACCCTCACATCCTTCCTATGCGGGTTGGCTGTATCGGGCCCCGATCGGCGATGGTCGGGCCGCTGGGGATCGATGCCTTCCCCGCTGAGCCGGCCCCCCCCCCGTTGGCGCCCCTGAGCTCGGCCTCCAAGACGTTTGTCCGTGGGTCGGGGGGTGGGCTTTCGCCCCTCGAGCGCCCAGCGCCAGGGGGCCCCGCGGACGGACTCGGACCAGGCATCAGCAGAGGAGGAGGAGGAGGAGGACGAGGAGCGAAAACCCCGCACGCCACCACCACTCCACCACTAGAAAAGGAAAGAAAGGCATAAACATAAACTTTCGACGGTCCGCGCGGATTGCTTGGATCTGAGCTGGGCCCCCCTGCCTGGCGCGCTCCGCGCGCCAGGGGCGGCGCCGGAGGCGCTGCCGGGGGGTCCCAGCGCCGATCCAAGAAATGCGTGCGGACCGCCACAAGTTGATGTTTATGTTGAATATTTTTTCTTCTTCGAACCAATGCCCTCTCAGACCTCCGCTCTGAGAAGACCGGTGCTTACGGCGCCACGGCACTTCAGCTTGCCAGTGGGCACCCCGCGCACTCTGGGTGAAGGAACGTGACAAGGGAGCCTCCTCTGGACGACGCCGACAACGTAGATGGCTGGCATTGTTCAGCCTATGGGCTTGGCGTCGCACATGGTCGGCGTCGTCCTACTTGGCTGACATGCGGGCAAGGAGGTATGCCCGCACGGAACGCATCCTGTAGTGAATTGTATATCTTTCCCGGGTAACGGCCGTTACCCGGGACCGGACGACGGCCGCGGCGTGCGCCAGTCAGGGAACTTCCGCGCCACTGGCACATCAATCGCCTGTGTACACGACAATGCCCCATGCCTGCGTGCAACTCAACGCCACCTGTGTACACATCACAGTGCCTCCGTACACCACAACAGCCGCGTGCACTGCAGCACCACGTCGCCCATGCGCACCGCAAAGCCTGTGTATACTGCAGCAACCGTTGTGTATAATAATATTCTACAGAAAGCCATGGTCTTTCATATGATGACTAAAAAGGAACCCCATGGAAAATGGAACGCCTCTGGATTCCCTGGGGTTTTTATAGAAAGTGAAAAGGAATCGCTGTGGAAAGCGGAACGCCTCTGAATTCCATAGTTATTTGGGAAAAAATCCCTCTGGAAATTGGGGCGCCTCTGGATTCCACAGAGAAGGGAAGTTGCATACACACGTTTTGAATTCATCCCTATGGAAACTGGAGCGCCTGAGGATTCTGCACGCGTGCACCACAATACCTGCGTACACCACAACGCCTGTGTACACCACGCCAGCCGCGTGCAACACAGCGTTGGTGTACACCACAATACCTGCGTGCACCACAGCGCTTGCGTACACCACGGCGCCTGCGTACACCGCAGCAGCCGTGTGCAACGCAGCGCCGGTGTGCACCACGCTGCGGCACGACCCACAGCGCCCGCGCACACCACAGCGCCCGCGGGAGAAGGCGCGGGGCCACCCAGTCTTCATTTTCTCCATGGCGCTCGGTCTACAGTCAACACGTGCATTAAGGACGGTTGGTAAGGACGCAAGACCCTTGGAAGCCGAAGTTGGATTTTTTTGCCAACGCTGGCCAATTCAAGCAGCAAAGACCAGGACCAAAGCTGGAGAAGGCACGCGTCCGTATTAGGCGCGTTGATTGTATCGCACTGCAAACGGGCACCGGCCAGAAAGAAGACAGACAGCCACCGCATTTTCCACTTGCGGAAGAATGATCGAACCAGCCTGCAGCAATTAGCTGGGCCATCGCCAGCTGCATTGGACGACGACGACGAAGACGACAACGACGAAGACGACGACGACCGACGACGACGACGACGACGACTGCGAGCGCCACAACACGTTTGTGAGCACCAGAGCGTGCCGTTCAGACCACGCCATGACCGTGAGCACAGCACGATACCCGCGGGGGGGCCGCTCCAAGCATATAGGGGGGAGGGCCAGGCCCCCCCCCACGGCACGATCGTCAGCGTTATCCGAGGGGGAGGGCGGGGGAAACCCAAATAACGAGCGTTACGCCGGAGAGAAAAACAAAAAACGCTCACCTACCGACCTAGCTCGTCACCGGGGTGTCTGGCCACGGCGAGCCTTGGCCACGGAAAGGTTCCCCGACCTAGATCTAAGGAGCGGCCCGGAAACCAGAGCCCCTTCAGAAACCAAAGTGGTCCTTCTTCCAGCGTCTTAGCTGCACGGGCGGCCTGCTTCGTGCTCCAGACCCTGCCGAGATGAGATGCGCAGCCCCCCGGTGCAGTCCTTGGGCCACACACATCGGGCGGACGACAAGCCCAGAGCTTCGGGACGCGCGACGAGGAAGCCCATCGGCAGACTTCGCCGCCCTGATGAGGTGATAGAGCGTGCGACAGGGTCGCAAAAGTCTCCCAGACACACGCGAGCATTAGTGAAGGGGCCCTGGGACACACAAATAAATACACACAAATAAACATATTCCCCATATTTTCGCATATTTTCTGGGTTTTTGTCTTCCCCCCACTTCCCATATTTTCCAATATTTTCCTGGGGATCGCCGATTAATTGTGTCTGTGTGTTTTTTCCCCTCCTGAATTAGATGAACAGCAAAAGCTCCTCAGCATTAACGTTCGGAGGTCCGCGCTGCTCTCTTGGATCGGTGCTGGGCCCCCTCCTCCCTCGCACGAGGAGCGCGACAGGGGCGGCGCCGGTGGCGCTGGAGGGCCCAGCACCGATCAAAGAAATCCGCGCGGACCTCTGAGATCAATGATGTTTATGAACCTGTTCCCATTCAGAACATGCAACTTCGACGACGCCCAGGACCCAGGCCAACGCGATTCTGGTCTTGGTGGCATTATCTGCGCACGGGCGCTGGCCATGCAGGCAGTTGCCTGCAACGGTCAAAACAACAACAACAACAACAACAATCAAGACCGCCTGCTTCTCAGAGTGGGGATCCTCCAACGAGGAATCGGGCACACGGTGTGCTCTTCGCACGCGAGATCACTGGATAGAGATCTGCCCGAGATGGAAGATGAGAAGCAGAGGGATAGAAATCCGCCGACCCCTGGGAGCCCAGTCCGGCCGGTTTGGAGGGGGGGCGTGGCAGGCAAAGGTTCCGGCCGCACCCTTGGAGCCCCAGGGGGCCCCGAAACGGGCCAAAAGGGCCCCAAGAGGCCCCCCGGACGGTCCAAGAGGGCTACGAGTCGCCGAAAGATCGCTCCAAGACGCGCAATATTGCCTCAAGACGGTCCAGAGGCCCCCGAGATACCCCAAGAAGCCACCAAGAGGCGTCCCAAGAGGCCCTCCAGAAGCAAAAATCGTCCCACTCCCTCAGAAAGCGTATATGTTTAGCAAATTCGTCTCGTGGGCTTTCACGAGGCCCGCAACGGCTCAAGAAGCCTTCAAAATCAACGCAAGATAGCCCAAGATGCCCCCAAGAGGGTTCCAAGACGGCCCAAGAGGGCCCCAAGACGGCCCCAGAAGCCTCCTAAACGGCACAGGAGGGCCCCAGGAAGGCCCCAAGATGAGGCCCAGAGGGAACCCGAATGGACATTTCGAGCACTCGGCCCTGAAAAAACCTGGGGAGGCGCCAAGAGGCCCCCAAGAGGCTCCCATGAGGCCCCCGAGAGGCCGAAAAGAAGCCCCTAGAGGCCTCAACACGGCTCACAAGAGGCCTCAAAATGCTGTCAGGAGAGCCCAGAGAAGCCCAAGAGCAGAGCCGCGATCCGCTAACTACCCCCGACGAAATCCCAAGAAGCTGAAACCCCAAGACTCCCCGGAAATCGCGCGTGTTCCGCAAACCCCGTTTTTCACTCTTACTGCCGCCCCGAGGGGTCGGCGGTGCGGCGTCAGCCAATGAAGCTGCCCGAGTTTCGGAAACGCAAGATCACTGGACAGAAATATGTCCGAGATGGAAGATCTCGGAGGCGTTTGGAAACTTTGGGGTGGGTGGAAGGCTCCCTGGTGTTCGGGCCAGAACTGGGGCCCGCGGCAATTCTGGACGATCCCTGCATCCCCGGAATGCTCTCGACGAGGCGCAGTTGACGGAAACCACCCCGGGTCTGGAAAACGTTAGAGGAGGCTCCAGCAGAGAGGGCCCCCCGTGAACCTAGGGTCAGGAACGTTTGCTTAGCGTGCCGCGGCTGCTGCCCCGGGGGGATGGAGGCCTCCTAGATGGGGTCGGAGTAGATGGGGTCGGAGGATCGCGAAGCATCGCCGATACATCGGCGATGCATCGGCAATGTATCGACGATGCACCGGCGATGCATCGTCGACGAAAGCGATGCATCGGCGACGTCGACGTGAAGCAAATCGGGCTCCACATCGGGCCGCATCGGCGATGCATCAGCGATGTGGCGCAATCCTCCGACCCGGAGAAGAGACAGCTGGACCTGGGCCTTCCGTAATGGAGGGGCGATAGAGGAGGAGAAGGAGGAGGAGGAGGAGGAGGAGAAGGAGGAGGAGGAATGAGGAAGCGGAGACAGCGGAGGAGACGGAGTAGGAGGA